GTCTCCAGGTTGGTCTGGTGCATGAAGATAAACAAATCTAGTCACCCAAATCCAGAAATTCTCTGCCCTGATCTGTTCAGAGATGAGCTCTCAAACCCCACTTTCCCTCTCCACCAGAAGCGTGTGTATGTGTGCACGAGTACACATGAGAGTTGCTTGCTACTTGCCTGGTTTTTCACACTCTACTTCTTACATTAAGGGTCATTACACTTGTTGGGAGCTTGTTGTAATAAAGCACTGGAGCAACTAGTAAACATTAAGAACTAGATGTATGGCCATGGCAATTCAAATCAAGAAAGAAGAGCATCAACATTTACTACAAGTCAATATGAAATGACTATTCATATTAATAACAATCACATTACCATCACTTTGTCCGACTTTATGCAAACCATAATTATTAAACCTCAGGCATGCCTGTGCTGCATTAAAGGGTTTTATTTTTGCAATTACATTGTGAATCAACTATTTTTTTCCTTCAGCCATGGAGAACACATCTGATTTTCTCCAAGGGACCTTTCTTACATGGATTTTTCTATTCCCCATTGCTCTAAACAATACACTCAAGGAATCAGAAGGGCTGAAGTATGGAAATAGAAAACCCTTCAAATGTGGGTTTCTGTATCTGCATTAACTCGTTACATCGGCAATACTAGATGAAGTGTCTGAATTTATGCATTTACTTCAGAGTTTGGCAGTTTTTGGGATGGAGGACAGGAAGAATGTGTGCAAGCAAGCTCTGTTCTCTGTTTACTAAGTTACTGGCTTTTTTATTTTCCTTTCTAAAACCAACAAGCAGAATAAAAGAAAAGCACTTACCTGTTTTGTTTATATCAAGCTCTGCTAACTTTAGAGCTAGTTCACTAGAGTTCCCTCCTGTGGAGGACACAAGGATATCATGTAGTGCATTTCTTCTACCTGTTCTTCCTGAAGCAATAAAATCTGCATATGTAGATTCTACATCAGTCATTGCTAAAAAGTATCCACATAGCAGTACCTAAGGCAGGAAAAGAAGACAAATATTTAGAACACCAAAATGATAAAGACTTCTCCTCATGAAGATAAAGCATTTCAAGCTTGCTGTCTAGGGACAGAAGTTATACATAAATCAGTTTAAGTGATCAGAAACTGGTTTAAGCCTGTAACAGAACAGACATTCAGTGCACATAAACCAATTTCAAAATGGCTGAAACTAGTTTAAAGATAAACCTGGTTGAATGTAGTATCAGACTTAACTGATTTATGTCAAACTGGTTTATGGAACTTCTGTCCCAGACCCCTTCCTGGTTCAAGTTAAATCAATGTCCCCTAGTATCTCAGCATTTTGCAGCCATGAGCTGGGCTGGGCTCTGCTGTCTGCTCCAGAGAACAGGGCTGGCTCTGCCCTTCTGCTCCCCAGCTGGAGCAGTGAGGGCTGGCTCACTGGCCTCACTGGCTCCCCAGGCAACCCCCTGTTGGGGCCTGGGGCCAGGGAGGGGGTTAAATTTCCCTTCCCCCGAGTATGAAGGTACCCTGCCCTGCTTACTTAGTTCTGGCTGTGACTGTGGACTACATATCCCAGAGGCACTTGGAAGCAGGAAAAGGAAGTGATGAGCAACCCTGCAGAGTCCTACTGCTGTGAGTCTGGTCTGCAAATCCCAGAGACCACAGGGGCAACAGAAAGAAGAAGCAAACACACAGCTCATGCTGGCTGTGCACCAGAGAGCCATGCTCTAGCACCCCCAGGCTTCTGGCTTGAGCCACTGCAGGCATGTAGCTGTATTTCCCGAATCAAAAGTGATCATCTGTTCATTTGCTTATTGGTGCAATCTTTGCAGCTTAGACTAACCTGCAAAGACTGAATCAATTCAGCCTCGGGCTGTTTGACTGTCTATACTTAGCCTTTATTTACAACCCCTTGCCTACAGCCACATTGCTAGGTTTAAAATACAAAACAAACAAACAAAAAATGGCTTTGAAAAATTCCAGAAGAGTCCAGTTTGCTGCTACAGGAAAAGGGAGCACCAGGATCCAAATAAAAAGGAAGAAATGTACCATCAAAAAGCACATGGAGAGCCAGATTCTGCCCTTAATCACTAGTTCTACACACAAGCAGTCATCCAGGAAGAAGTGGGTTCCTGAAGGTCAAAATTCTCAGTGGGTCAGTTATGTTGATAGTTCCACAAAAGTCAGCTACAGAAGGTGCACAGGCCTCTCAGAAGGATCACTTACAACAGCAGCAAAAAGAATTATCCCCTTCTTTTTTGTTAATAATGCCTTAGAGATAAAACACTTCCCCTAGGCAGGGTCAACCACTCCTGTCCAGTTTGTCCAAACTCTCCTCAGACTTCTCCAGCAATGCAGATTCCATGCTGTCCTGAGATAATCGAGCCCAGAGCTTAACCATGCTTAGAATTAGAACATTTTTCCTAAAATTTAAATCTGTCTTGCAACTGAAGCCCAACTTTTGCCCATTTAAACTACAACATAGAGAAGCTTGTGTCTCTATTACTGATAAAAATAAGTGTTTTTTTTTCTTTTTTTGTGCACTGGCATGGATGCTCTTCATTTACTTGTTCCACTCCAACAGCTGAATCATAAATGAAATTCAGACTGAACCATGCTAAAAGAAAGTTTCAAAGGCTTTGAGAAAGATATGTGGAATACTATCAACTTTGTAACCAGAGGCATTTCACATGATTGCCTTCTCCCTACAAGACTTTGATGAACAGATGCTATGTGTAAACAGTGCAGAAAATGTCACTGGCAGAAGGGTGATATCACATATGCCATTTCTAAACCAATCCATACCTACCAATCCACCCAGTAGTCATATTTAGCTATCGGCATTTCTGGAATAACTAAAGCAAAGTTTCAAAGTTTTATTTAAAAATCTTTACATATCACTGTTAACTTAATTCATCTGTGCGCTATGAAAAACACCCTTAAAGTCAACAACATTTTTATGCAATGGATTTGGATTATTCAAGAGATATTCAACCCTTTTTCTTTTAACAAACTGTCTTCATTTACTCTTAAACAAGCCATTATCTTCACAAATCTTGGCAATTCCTGTCTGATCCTATTTCTTCAGCTCCCTCACTGTCAGCACAGCCGGGGTCAGTCAGTCAAGTCAGCCTTGCACCCTTACTGAAGCATAAGGATGAGTTGTTTGAGAGGCCAGGGAAAAGGGATTATGTATAGTACTTTATAAAGGCTAAATATAGCTGTATCAAATATCATTGCAAGAGTCACTTCTCTGAAGAGAAGTTTGGGGCTACGAAGCTTCTGAGAATGAAGTAGTGACATGCACCAAATGCTGAATGGCTGACATGCTAATTTTATTCCTATAAAAGACAGCCATGAAACAAGAAACCAGCTTGGGAGAAAAACAGAACGGAAAGAGGTCAATGATGACTGAAAGCTTGTCGATGTACGCAGAATTGTCTTGTGCCTTTCAGTTACTGAAAGCTTTCGTAGGCGCCACAATAATCCACAGCACAGAGTATTTATTGCTTCCTGCAGAATGTTCTCTCTTCATAACAGTGTGGAAGTGACACAGTTGAGTCATTTACTCTTCTGTATAGCCTCCAACTGCAAATATTTAATTAAACAAACAAAAAAATCAATTCAAGGCAAATAAAGTGGAAGTGGGAGCAGAGAAGAGGCAGCTAACATTATCCTTATAGGCCACAATAGAAAGCAAAAGAAAACTTCAGAATTATCTGTCCTGTCTTCCAGAGAGGCAAACGTGACATGACTTCTTAGTCATCTTTCTGACATCTATTCCCTCATTTTAATGAAACATACTTGTATAATGTGCGTTCGATCCCTTTGTTTAAGGCTGGCTTTGAGAACACTACATGTAAAGCCAAGGAGTAATTCAAAGTTGCAACTGCAAGGAGCTTGGATTTTGATGCCAACAAATCAATCTGAAGTCTACCCAGTATAACCCCCTTCCAGGATGCTGCCTTAAATTAAATGCAGCAGTGCTCTAAATAAGGAATTATCTTTCCATTCATGGAAAACTACACAACAAGTTGCTGATTGGAGTGGGTTTGCTAGCAACTTGATGAGGAGCAAGGGGGTAGGGGAAAAAAATCTCCCAACACCACAGCTCATTATAGCCACTTCTCATGTTTCTTTTATTTTCCACATTAATGCTACACTGCTTCCCATCCTTCATAACAATAATGGCAGTTTCTAGGACCCCTTCCCTTTTCCTGTCCTCTTTTCTACCCTTTGTATTCTAACCACTGCTTCCTATTTAGCAGCTCAGCTTCCTGCAGTCTCTTATGAAGTAAGGCCTCTGTTATGAAAGTTATGCTGTACCTCTCCGACAAATCTACTCTGCCTTCTCCCTAATTTCCAGAGTTAACAGGATTAATAAATAATGGGATCTCTATAAAGATTTCTCCATAAAACAGGTTAGATTATTCTCCTCTGTCAGGAGAAGAGATTGGTAGAGACTAGATTTGTGGTGCTGCCACTACAAAGCAAGCCTCCAAATACCAGGCTTCTGATGCAGTGTTCACTGGCAGAATCCAAGCAACTCCACCAGTTGTCTTCTAGCAGGCCCTCATCTACCATGATTATTGGAAGACAATGAAGAATGGGTGGTCTGCTCTGGTCTGAATTCCTGCCCTGCTCTTCTGAATTAGTTGTGAAATGACACCTGTACATGCAGTCTTGCTTTATGTAACTGGCACATATCCCTACCCTCAATGTGTCCAAGTTATACCTGTCCTTGGATTAGCCTTGCCTATTGTGTCCACATTAACATAATAATGAGAAAATAGTTATTCAGAGGGGCCGAGTTTCTTGAGCCATTACTATATAAGTTATTCTAGTTGTTGGCATCCAGTAACCCTGAAATATCAGGCCTTTTGCATTGCCCAATCCAGATTAGGCCACAATCCAAGTCCGGCAGCTGTCATCCCAGCCTCCCGAGTCAACTCAAGAGGGTTGTTTTTTTTTTTTTTTTTTAAAGTAATTCCCCTTCTAGGAAGCCTGGTTTGTTAAGCTACTCTGTTTCCAAAATTTAAGTTGATTTGTGTTCCCAGAATTCATTCCCTTAACAGCAAGATATTACTCTTTCAGGTTTAGTTCTCCCATGATCAAGATCTCCAAAGGGCTGCAGGCTGTAGAAGAGTGGACTGCTTAGGATTCATGCAGAGATGCACAGAACGTTCTGAAGCATTTTTCTTGTTATTCTGGAGTATTTTATGCAGACCATGAATCCATGAAGCCCTTATCAGATTATATTTACTTCTCAGATGCTCCAGATCAACATGGAAAATATTTTGAAACTTTAATTTTGCAAAACTTATTTTATTTTACGTGTGTGTGTGTGTATATCAAACAAGTCACAAGAGGAGCAAGTACTCTCAGAATATTCTTTTAAGTCTATAAAAGAAAAATATACAAGTAACGATGTAGTACTGAATACATGAAAAGGCTAGTGTTGCCCAACTTTTACTGACAACTCAGCTGCAACATTTATTGAGAACTTTAAGCTTTCTTGTACGTTCTGTCTCCCAAATATCTAATACAATTTTGTTTTGTCTTAGTATTATCTTGAGACATTACTCCATACACATGGAACTTCCTTGACATAACCACAGAAATCCCCTTCCAATGTGATGGCCTGATGCCGAGAAGTATGTATTTTATTGATCTAAACAACTCTCAAAAAAATCACTATTCCCTTTCAAAAAGCCTCTTCTTCACTCTCTTACATGAATTTCTCACTTAATTGCAATAACAGACTCCTCAGGAGAGGGACAACTCCCAACTCTCTGGACTGACTCCTGCAGGTGCCAGAATTGCATCTTTTACCATTGAGATGTCAAAACTAAGTATATGGTTAAGCAATATAAAAATGACCAAATACAATTTCCTGCAGGGTTGAATTAAAAATGAGGTGTGTCTACTTTGTTACTCATGTAGGCCATGTTATACACCTAGTCTGACCTATCACCATGCTAGCCTAGCCAGCCCCCTGCCCCACTGGATCCC